CACACTCACACCTAGGGGCAATTCAGCATTTCCAATTGGCCTGACTGCATGTTTTTGGACTGTGGGAGGAAACCCACGCAGACAACATGCAAACTCCACACAGAAAGGACCCCGGTCACCCGACCAGGAATCGAACCCAGGCCATTTTTGCTGTGAGGCGACAGCACTACCCACTGCGCCACAATTGCAGTCCCTGCTGGTTACAGTGGACTGCAAAAAGGAAGAAATGATTAATATGATTGATATTGTTCAACCATTTTCTAGACACTTTTTACTCATCATTTTACGCCGTGATTATTAGGTATGCACAATTATGGTAGAATTATATCATATTGGCAGATAAATAAATAACAGCATTGGGCAGATGTATAGTTTTGACCCATATTTCAAACCTACATTTTATTCCATTGACTGATATTTTTTCTTGCTTTAAAATGCTTAAAGGAAAGAAAAATGATCTGTTAATGAAATAAGATAATTTGCTTAAAATTTGTTACAAGTAAACTATTCGATATATTGACTAGATTGTAGCTGATTTTACTTGCCAGGATGTCATTTTTTGCAGTGTGACTGGTTGTGACTTTTGGGCCTAAACCAGGGGTCGGCAACATGCGGCTCTTTTACTGCCCTGTTGCAGTTCCACAAAAGAATTTGATTTTCTATAATAAATAAAATAATCCTCCTTTGCAGTAAAATACAGCTCTGCTGATCGTTCTAACACAGTTTTAGGCATAAGTGGTCTTAAACGCTGGAGTTAATGTAGCCTATAACTGCTAGTTCACCAAACTTTGACCCTGAAGATCAGCACGCAGACTGCTGGTCACATAGCACACACAAGTCTTGCCTAGCTAGTAGCTAACAAAAAGGCAAAGAGAAAGATTTAAGATAAACATTGATAATTTGGTGACAAATTGACTTATTTGCATTTATAAGCCCTTAGCTGGTTTCCTGATACGTTTAATCTGCAACAAGAAACTGTCTAACTTTAAAAATAAAGTTGTGAAGCTGAAGTCATCTTCTTGTTCAAATTGTCGTGTTTCACCTTAAATGGTGCAGCAGTTACATTCTGAAACCTCAGGCACCATTTAAGGTGGAACGGAAAAATTCAAACAAGAATGAGAAGCTGACTTCAGCCTCGTAAAAATGAACATTAAGTGACATTTTACAAGAAACTGTTCTACTTTTGTGGAAAAGTTTCCTGCCAGAGATGCGAGAAAAGCAGCTATAGCTGAGCTAAAAGCTTAAAGCAGAGCAGCGTAAGTCTGTGTTGTTGTATATGTTTTACTTTTTAGCCTATACTGGAACATTAACACATAATGAGACATATTTACAGCCAAGATGGTAAAATGGACATAAAATGTTGTGAAGCTTGTTCCATTTTTGTTGAAAGGACAAAATAGGTCCTTTTAACATTTGGGTTGCCGACCCCCGGCCTAAACTTTTGACTAGATGGTGATTCCTCGGTGGTCCATGTCTGAGCCCAAGGCTAAGCTTAAATAAATCTGTTTCTCAAAAAAATGACTAAATGAATAATATAATTTTCTAGTGAGAAAGCCTTCTTAGGAAAGCATTAGCCTTGCCTGGGCCCAGAAGAACACTCCATGGTTTAGTATGACTTTCTAAACTAAATTTAAGTTTAGTCCAGTACTTTAGTAGTTTGGTCAAAATAAAATCCCTATTGAAATATAACCTACACTCAGATACAACCTACACTCAGTTATGTTTTATCATGTTTGTGTGGTCAGTCAACAGAGACATTGTCAGAAAACTACTTCATGGTGTCCTCAAAACACTTGGAAAGTATGAAATGTGTAAAAGAACATTTTCACTCAACCTCTAACCTCCAGTGGGGTAGTGAAGAGTGGAAAAGTATGGAACCCAAATTACATTTGACAGTCGGTTATTTACTGACAGTCGTTCTGCTATGCATTGCTGCAGTTCTAGTCAAGGTCACTGAGGAAGAGTTCTGAATGCTTTTCATTTTCATTTTACTGAGGATTTTATAATGCTGTATGATGTGAGCTTCAACAGAAAGCAGTCATGTATGGGAGGAAACATGGGCTAATTGCCTTGAATGGACTGTATTTTGTGCATACAGGACTGTGTGGCTTGTTTATAAGTCTTCTGTGGTCCTTTGTGGTCAGCTGGAGGCTGTGTTAGATTGAAGCTCCGTCACTGCAGAGGCGATAGAGCTGAGGACTGGCACAGTGTGCAGGCTAAAATTAAATAACCTCTGCTGTTAATTAGCATCCCTTAATTACCTGCATCAGCCTTTCAGCGCTTGTTTCGGCAGTGAAGTACAGCGAGTGAACTGCGGCTGCAGTGGCGTTGGGCTCTGCCGTCCTTCAGTATTTGCTGTTGATGGCGGTGGAGGCGGAAATTACCATCTCATTTCGCCAATTATGATTCAGTGATGCTGTGCAAAGAAAGTGCAAATGAAAAGGTTTGCATTCCCACAGCAAAAAGGGCAAAAGAAATGTACAGCTAACTTTGTGAGTCCGAGTTCAAGAAGTGTTGGTGATGTCATATGCGAGGCCTGGAGGCGAGTGGACATATGTGCAAATTTGCATTAATTATTATTTCCAATGAAAAAAAACTGGGGAAAATAACAAGAAGACAAAAGAAATGAAACAAAGGCAAACAGGGATGGACAAAGGAAAGCTATTCAAGACAGACAGTTCCCTCCAGTACTTGATATCAGTGTTGTCAGAATAAAATCTCGTTATCTCCATTTTTGACGATTTTCAGTTTTTAACAGAATTTGAAAATGCCTGTTGCCCTTTACATTGTGTGTAAATTTCATGATGATTGACCCAAAGAAATGGCCCAAAATTACTCGGGGGGGGGGGGTCTGGTTCCATTGACTTACATTAAAAGTAAAAAGCCCACCACCCACTGCCTCCTAGATGGGCACACAGTGACACATAGGGCAAGGACGATAAGTCAATAAATCAGAACAAAACTATTGATAAATATCAATATTTTCTTTTTCTTCATTTGTCTCCACCGTTTAGTTATGTCCAATTCCACCCGCTAACTGGGTCTCCTCAAATCACACGATGCTACCAGTGCTAGAGGGTGAAGGCTAGCACGAGCTTCCTTAGAGTCACGTGAAGCGCCACCACATGTTCTCGAACCATTGCTAACACAGTGGCATTGGACAGCTGAATGTGCTTGGAGGACACTGCTAACTGCCAATTCTGTTATGGTAGCTGATTCAGCCCATTTTCATAATTTAATACTGCAGGTATTTTAAATTAGCTTAAATTAAAGGTAAATTAAATTAACTTGTCAGAACAAAACCTTGTATCTCCAAAACTATAACTTTACAGGGGAAGGAAAAAATAAACTTTGGGCCATTTCTTTTGGTCCATTCATCATGAAATTTACACACAATGTAAACGGCAACACACACATTATCTAAGCAGCTTATCCTCCTGGGTTGCGGGGGGTGCTGGAGCTTATCCCAGCGGTGACTGGGCAGAAGGCAGGAAACACCCTGGACAGGTCTCCAGTCCATCGGAGGGCAGACAGACAGACAAACAGACTCACACACACACGCACACACCCCACAACCCAGCAGCATAAGCGGCCTAAAGGGCAACAGGCGCTGGCAAATTATGTCAAAAACTGAAAAACTGACCAAAATGGAAACAGCAGCGATGTTCTGGGTATCTATGAGATTTTATATTTGCACCAGAGGGAGCGACAAAGTGCCCTGCTTGATGAATCCTTCCACTTTGCTTTTTTTTTGCACGAGTGTTTCATTAAAAAGCACTTCAGAGCAAACATTTCAGCGCATTAAAAATCACATCCACTGTTTTCATCCGTGAAAATGGCTTTGTTTGAAGAACTCAGTACATCTAACATTAAACTAACACTTAAGCAGTACTATGTAAGATTTTTTTTTGTTAAAATTGAAAGAAGTAGCGTTACTGAGTCAGGTAGAAAAAAAGTTTTTTGTCAGTGAGCTGCTGCAAGTCACTCTGTAAAGCCTGAAATAATCATTTAAAAGTCACAGCCTCAAAAGAAAGGCCTGGCTCAATGTTTAGGTCTCAAATGCAGAATTAGCATTGTACTAATGAAGAAGTTTTGACTGAGTTCTCTTTGAATACTCTTTCAATACGCTTGCAGTCATCAGATTCATCCGCACAGGCAGAAACACAAATGAGTAGGCGGAGGAGAGGGTGGAGTCAGGATGGAAACCATGAGATGTGATTTTTTTTTATTTTACATTAATACTGTAATTTGTGGTATTTAGTTAAGTCCAGCTTTACTGTAATTCCTCTCATCACAGCCAGACTGAGAAATTAAATATTAGCTTTCCAAAAAACAATAAATAAGACAGCAAATGTACAGTCTCTCAAAAAATTATATAGTAGTTTTCTGTAAAAGACCTACCTAGAGAACAAGAAGATCAAGAATTTATAAATTAAATATTTAAAAATATGGGAGATCTTAAATTACACGAAGTCTGAATTTGGAGTCTGGGTTACTGAGCATTAATGTCTTGTTTCTTGGCTTATTTTTCTTCAGCTGTTTCTTTTCCCTTTACTTTCGTCTGTTCCTAGCCCCTTCTCATTGTATTATTTATTTTATTTATTTACTTTTACTTTCTTTTATTTAGTTATTTTTATGATCACTGTTATATTTTGGATTGCAATATGTTGTATTCTCTAGTCACCACAATAAGCAGATTATAGAGAAACATATACATTCCTTAGCTGCATGTTGTTAGATGTAGACATAGTTATATTTTTTATGTTTCAAGTCTTTCTCTAAATAATACAGTCAGACGTGTATTAAAAAAACAAATCAAAAGTAGGTTAATATGTGTGAAAATACTGTCAGGCTTCCTAAAGAGTGTGAGAGAAGTCAGGCGACAGCTGCCCTCTGTGTGCTCTCGCTATCAGATTCTTCAGAAACATGAAGTCAGTGACAGCCCCCCACGCAGGGCCCTATAGGCTAATTGCATCTACTCTGCTTTCTCTCCTCCACAGAGATGCCCCTGAAGGATGGGGAGGACACAACGGGCCTCTCGCTCTCTGACTCTCGTCTGTTCGCTCGCTGGGGTCATGACCTAGGCCCGGAGAGCCGCCGGGTGGCCCTGCAGAAGTTCCAGTATTACGGTTATAATGGATACCTCAGTGACCGTCTCTCTCTAGACAGAGCCATTCCTGATCTCAGACCAGACGGGTAAATAGTTCCACAAAATCACTCCTTCATCAAACACTTACTGATTCATCAGACACTCACTGATTTACCAAGCATTCACAGATTCATCGAACACTCACTGATTCATAAAACATTCACAGACTCATTAAAAAAAACAGTTTCATCAAACACTCACAGATTCATAAAACATTCACAGATTCATTAAAAAAATCACTGTTTCATCAAACACTCACTGATTCATCAGACACTTACTGATTAATGAAACACTAACTGATTCATCAAACATTATTTGATTCATCAAACACACTGATTCTTCAAACACTCACTTAGGTATATGGTTAATATATGAACATATAACTAATATATAACCTCGCTCTACTCTCTGGAAAACTGGCCTTCAGATTTGCTTGCGGGTACTTTCAGGGCGCACTGTTCACACTAATGACAGATGTGGGTCACATACAAACACAAAGGCAGAAATACTAGATCTGTAAAAGCCCCAGTTAAAGCTGGGCATTCTCTACATTAGAATTTAGCCCAATATTGGCCCCAGTTTGCCCCTTCTGACTAATATTCACTACAGGAAGTGAATTTCTAGTTCATTATTGGAATTAAATGCTCAGATGATCTAGTATCTTGAGAGGGGAAAAAAATCTTTGGACTTCCAAACTAGCTGCCAAGTTATCAGAAGCCTCCCGATGTTTTCAAATGTTGGATTTCTATAGCTCATTGTCTAGCACTTATCTATTTCATCTATTTCTTGCTGTAAAATAGAATGACATCCACATTTCTCAACCTCATATTTCTGCACAGGTTGCATTTTTGCTATGTTTCCTGAATGCACATAAAGGCTTTTGCCGAAAATTGTTATGCATGATGCACTCTCTCTGCCTAATCATGTGTGATGTTTCGTGGTAAAGGCATAGACCACTTCAACCCCCGTGCTGTGATCTGCTTTTGCTTTGTGCCACTGCTTTCTGGTGTCATTGATGATGTAGTAAAAGTTGGTTAAAGGACAGAGCGATACAGTCTCTGACCAAGACTATTCATACTGTAAGTTTTTGTCACCTTGGTTTGCTTGATGATAACACATAAATTTAATTCTTCGACTGGTCAAAAAAACAGAGCCTGCTGGACACACCCATGTATATGTATTTTTTGTCACATAGGACATTTATACATATTCTTTGTGAAATCTTTTTAAAGGCTTCCTAGGTTGTGTTTTTTCTATGTAGGTATTTTTGAATCTTTGAATGCCTACAATTGAAAGGTTTGTTCTTGTTCAGATAAGTCAACTTTTATCATGTGGTCGTTTTTTCTCATCAAAATAATGAGTAGATTGTTTGAATACTAATATATGTGATAGTGGTAGCTCTACAGCTAATCTAAGAACAAACTAAAGTTGTGGAAACCAAGAAAGAGCATCTCCCAGATCTGAGCAAAAAACTTCAATTCATGTAATGTGAAGGAAGCCTAAACTATCTCTCTTTTCTGTGGCCACCACTGCTCAAACTGACTTACAGATACCAGTGACATGGATGGTGCCCTTGGAGTAACTTGGGATTAAGTATGTTGCTCAAGGGAACAGTATGAAATAGCCGCATGTTATCAGCTGGAACCAAACCCATAGCCACTTGGTTCACAGCCAAGGTTTTCACCCTGACCGTTGGGCTAGTGCTACTTCTCTGCTTCTTTTCTCTTTCTCTGTGCCCCTCGATTTGTATGCAGGGTTCTCCACCATGTTGAGCAAATTGAATTCATCTCGAGTGACATTAATGAAAAATCGCAAGAGCGCAGTTCCGAGTTTCAGATGTAGGAGAAACAGATGAAAATATATTAATTCCCACCAGTTGGGATTTCTTTTCTATATCAGGCGAAAAGCTGGCGGAGTGCTGGAGCAGGGGCAGTCTGGGAGACGGCTGGAAAAAAAGCTTTCAGCTTGCTCTGAGCAGAAAACGTGCCCACTCTCTTGTGCTCTTAGTGGGTGTCTGAGGCTCCAGGCAAATGGCTCCACTCATTTTACCTCTGGCTTTAGGCCAGCAGTCATCAGTTCCGGTCCTGGAGGGCCTTTGGGTCTTGGATCCAGTGCAGATTCAGCTCATCAGTTAATTACGAGAGACCAGCAAAATCACCAGACAGCGCTGAACTAAGACCCCAACTGTGCTGAACTTATGCTCAAACTGCACTGAACAAAGTCCCAAAATGTGCTGAGCAAAGTCCCAAAATGTGCTGAACTAAGACCCAAATTATGCTGACCCAAGATCCAGACTGTACTCAACTAAGACCAACTAAGATCAAACTGTGTTAAACTAAGAGTCAAAACGTGTTAAACTAAGACCCAAACTATGTTGAACTAAGACCCAAGCTGTACTGAACTGGACTAAGACCCAAACTGTGTTGAACTAAGACCCAAACTGTGTTGAACTAAAACCCAAACTGTGCTGAACTAACACCCAAACTATGCTGAACTAAGACCAAACTGTGCTGAAGTAAGGCCCAAACAATGCTGGACTAAGACTCAAAACGTGCAGAAGAAAGACCCAAACTCAAACTGTGCTGAACTAAGACCCAAACTGTGCTGGACTTAGTTTCATAATGTGCTGGGCTAGGACCCAAACTGTGCTGAACTAAGACCCAAACTGTGCTGGACTTAGGTTCATAATGTGCTGGGCTAAGACCCAAACTGTGCTGAACTAAGAGCCCAAACTGTGCTGGACTAAGGCCTAAACTGCAAGGCTAAAACCTAAACTGTGCTGAACTAAGACTTAAACTTTTCCCTAGCCACTGGTGCATGGTGACATAATCAACAATCAGAAGATGTTTTAGAGCTGGACAAAAGTCATTACATTTTGACGAAAGATTACAGGAATTCAGAAATTTTGTCTTTTGCATTAAATATAAAATATGAAGTGATAAACGGCACTTAATATGACGAACAAGGTAAAGAAGGTCAATTCAGGTAGACTTCAAGAAGATGTCATGCTTTTCAGTGGAAGAACTGTAAGAAGGTAAATTTCACATTCTGAGAGGATGTGAGTTAGTTAGTGTGTTAGTGTTTATAAAGCTGATGTGCAGCCTTTGGTGATATCCTTGCTATCAAAACTAATTAAAGTGTAGACGCTGCCTTCTACACCTCTAGGGGCCCAGGCTGAAGAGGCTAGTCAGGCTTTTTCTTTTTTTCCTCTCCAGGTGCAGAAACATCTCCTACCACGCCAACCTTCCCAAAGTCAGCATCATCTTCATCTTTGTCAACGAAGCTTTGTCCGTTATCCTGCGGTCCATTCACTCGGCCATGCGCAGGACCCCCTCCCACCTCCTGAAGGAGATCATCCTGGTTGACGACAACAGCAACAACGGTGCGTATCAGCCGAGCGTCCTGTGGGACACTAGAGAGAGGGGGGGCGTATATGCGCAGTCACACTGAGCGCTCATTACTATGCCATAGGGCTGCTTGTTTGTCTGACAGGTGCTACATTGCGGGCATTATAAGCATGTGCAGATGTGTCTGCTGTTGCAGTGTTCTTGTATTAAAATGACACTGGCAGCAGAGAAAGTGTTGTGTTGTCTGCATAGCGATTCAGGTTGCACATGTGTATTTGCATTCTCTGTGCTACCCTACACTTATGGATGCTGTGTTTGGTTGCTATGGAATTCACATATGCACTCAGCACACACCCCAGTGTTTAATTACATAGTGAGCAACAAGCAGCTTGACTTTTTAAATAGATTTCTAATTGTGCTACTCTAACAAGATCACAGAATATAACCCTTAAATGTTGCAGTTCAGGCAATTACAAAAGCGTGGTGTGAATATAAATGGATCACTTCTCAGTCATAGCCCATTGAAACAAACGGAAAAGATCTGTTGAGTGCGGATTCCAAACTTTCAGTCTGTATCACATTTGTAATTGTAGAATGTAGAAGATACATTTTATTATTGTGTCTTTTGACATACTTTTTTATATGACCATTTCATAGTGTGCTTAATATTGACTTTTGATCCAATTTGTTTGACCTACCTGATGATTTAGGTAATAATTATATTTTATATAATTATATTATTTCTAAGTTTATATGGGCCTAATATTATACATTTTAAATTGACACTTTTAGTTGAATTTTTAGACAGAAGTTAATTTTACTACTTTTGTGAAATAAACATTTTATAGTGCCTTAACCCTTGTGTGGTGTTCAGGTCTGTGGGACCCATTATTAGTGTTTATCAAAATAAAAAATGATGCGATTTATAATTATTTCAACCTCAGATTGCTTGGCCGTTGCTCATTTCCTGTGAAGAACATATAAAATAACACATTTTCAGTGCCTTCACACTGTTCACCCCCCACACATTTATATTACACATGTGGTGTTAGGCTGAACCAGTGGGGAATAAAAGTGTGGAGGTGCTGTGTCCCTTCACTCTGTTCTCCTCCTACATGGCCTGCTGTTAGTGTGTGTGTGTGTCTGTGTATATGTTTGTATATATGTGTGTGTGTGTGTGTGTGTGTGAGGGTGGACATCATGGACAGGCTGCTGACTGGCTACAGCTGCTAAAGGAGAACCCTACACTGGCCACTTGTGATATTTTAAACATCTGGTATTTTTACATAAATTGTTATGGCTGTGTTGATTTAAAAAAACAGTAATGCAGCGGTCCACCAGACCACTGAGTAACAAAAACATCAACACCACACAAGTGTTAAATACCATCTTACAGTGTTTTAAGTACGCTATAAGCTCATATAGCTCTAATGTATATGCAGCAGCTTGTCCTTGGTCTTGAACACGGTGGTGAATGCTGATTTTCACCCAGAAGCAGCACGGCCAGTAAAGCAAAACATTTCTGAGGTACTTTCTTTTTTACCCGTTTAGGACTTGGGAGTGAAAAATGTGGGGAATCTATCTTCTACATAGCCTTGGTGGAATGCTGCTTGCGGTAAATGGCAGAAAATAGACTCAAAGAGTAATAGCCTCATACTCACTTTCTTATATGCTGAATATTACACATTTTCCCTTTCTGCTTCAAAAATAGCTCCACTACAGACATTTAAGCTGCTTTGTTAACATCTGAAAGAACGCCTCACTGCTGCATGTTGTGGATAATGTCATCTAATGGCATCTGTGAGAGAGTGCTGAAAGTAGAGTGCAAAAAGTATAACCATACAGCCCTTATAACTGAATAACCGGGCTGTGAAAACAAAAAAGGATGAAGGAGAGATTTTTAGAAGTAGAACTAGTATACCTGGAGGATAGGCAGCAGTCATTTATGGCTGATAAGAAGAGAGGCTGCTGCACTCCTCATAACTGGATGGAAAAATACATACAGTGGAGTCCAAAAGTCTGAGACCACATTGAAAATCTGGTAGTTTTTTTTTTCATTTGAACTTAGAAATAAACAACAGAACATTTTAGAATTAAAAAAAAATAGAAACAAAGAAAAGTTATTAAAAGGAAAGAAGTTATAAAAATGAAGAGGATATATTCAAGAATGTCACTTAGCATATTTAAGCAGATTTGTGACACTGACCATGTTAAGGCCTTAAAATTTTACTTAGTCTCTTTTAATAAAAGCTTCAGTGCAAGCTGTCATTAAAGCAAAGGGGCGTCCTGTTAAATTCTAAGAGTCACACATCCCTCCAGAACTGGCTCCTTGGAGAACTCCAAGTCCCAGAACCCTCTTGGTGATCATTTCATCGATCCCCTTCGTCTGAATACTAATCTGGTGTCCCTGTCTTGTTTGTCATATTACCTGTGATAGATAGTATTTAAAGCCAAGGCTTTAGTTTAGTCGTTGTGAGGTATTGCTTCTTTCACTAGAGCTGCTGAGTGGGCCATTCTGTGTGTTTCCTATTTGATTTCCTGTGTTTCTGACTATGTTTTTGGACTTTTCCACTTTGCCCTTTGCCTTCTCCCTTTTTGCATTGTGTTTCCCTGTTCCTGTCTTTGTTATGTTTGTTCTTCTTTGTATCTGGCTAACTTTGGATTTGACCCACGCATGTTTAATGGCCATGAGTATTGATTGTATTCTAACTAGTAAAGCCTCATTTTCTATGTTTACCTGCACATTTCTATTTCAAGAAATTCTAAAATTCATGTACATTTTTCAAAGATTGTACTTTTCATTCAAATTGTTATGATGATTATAGAATTTGTAATGAAAATCTCTATTACATTAGAAAGTAATGCAAAATAGAAGCATTTTCACTAGTGCTCTCAGACTTTTGGACCCCACTGTACCTTTAACAGAAAATTGTACAGAAGCCTCAGTGTGTCCACTCTTCTATTCTTTTCAGGAAACTTGTTTTCAGTTAAAAAAAAATCTGTAGGGATATTTTTCCACACAGTTCAGTCTAAGAAGTTGGTTGCATTTTCTGCTTCTCACAATCCAAATAATACCAATTTAGACTCATCAGTGCTTAAAACCTCCCTCCACATCTCAATCCAGTTTCAGTGTTCTATTTCCTTTTCTCAGTGAGGCTTCATGACAGCTACACATCCTTTCAGACCCATAGCGCTGAGTCGTCTTCTCACAGTGGAAGGATGGACAGAGACACCTGTGGATGATTTCAGATCTGAAAGCAGCTTGATTTTCTCCTCTCTCTCAAAGATGAAAGCTTTAAATGCTGATGCTGACATTTTGGTGGTCTACCAGGCCTTGCATGGGTGTTAGGGGTCCATTTTCTCTATAGCTTTGAAGTTTTGGAAACTTCTGTTTTTTTACTTATTTTCCTTTGCAATGGATGGGTTTCCTTGGGAGAGTTAAAGTGGCAGTGGGATGAGCAAAAGTAAAAAGTGAGCAAATTAATTACCGCTATGTGTTGTACTGTCTTGAATGCCTCTTACATTGAAAAATGAATAACTTGTACTCAATGGCTGTGTTGACTGGTAATTAATGAAAAGAGAAGGTGGTCTCTGTCTTTTGCATAGTATTGCAATCAACTGTTTAATCAATTATACAATAGTATGTTACATATAATTATACGCCTATGTTATATATTAAATATTTACATAAAGTATGTTTCATGTATAACAAAACGACAACAGCTTCAGGTTTCTAAGAGGTCAGTGTTTGAAGGCAATAGTTAAGGTGCTTTCAGAGCGCAGTGAGAGTGTTGTGGGGGTTTGGGGTGTATTACTGAATGCACTGGAGATGCCATAGCGCTGTATGCTGGGTGTATGAGTGCTGAACAGTCTGTTATTACACTGATAGAACTGTTGAGCACAGAAAATACAGCCCTGTCAGCCACAAGATTTCAGACTTTTGTGCTGTGTTCCTTAGACAGCACTTTGCTCCAGTGATTTCCACTCTGCTGACCATCACGTGTTTTGCTCGCTCAAATTTACTTGTATTGGGAGTTTTTGTCCATGTATAGGGAGTTCTTTTCCCTTCACAGCAGACAGCAGACGCTGAAGAATGTTGAACAACAGCCTTGTGAGCCTCCAGAGATAACGGCAAATCACGTACTAGAATGGTTTGTGGTTTTGTACTTGTCAAGCTGTTTTGCACTACAGGCTTCAGAACAGAATGCTCGTGCCTTACTAACAGTGGCTGCTCTGGTGAGTATGTGAAGACAGAGCAGTTGTGATGTATCAATGCTTCCGATTCTGATTCTGCTTCCGTTTGAGAATTGATCTTCACATGAAAATATTGATATTTAATTTAAAAAGGTCTAACGGCTCTGAGGTGGCCAAAGCTGTGGTCATGTGAGTAAAATTTACCTGACGAAAAATCCAATTCACTTGAATAATCACTGGCTTTGATCTGATTCAAAGTATCAAAACCCAGATGTCACATTGACTAATTGGCTAAAGGTATCAGTAATGTTTACATGTTCACTGTAAGCTGACCACTCAGTTGAAAGGAAAATACATCCAGTTTCAGTTGCTGGAGTTATGTGTGTCTGTGCATAGAATATAGCCACTCATAAGTGTGATGCATGTGGAATTATTAAGGTAAATATAATCTGTTCTTCTAAGTTTAGTGTTTTAATCAACACCATTCAGCTGCTGAAACCTCAGTAGGGTTGAGGCCCAAAAAAAGGGTGGTAATGCCAAAAATTCCAAAAATTAATCTCTCTCTCTCTCTCTCTCTCTCTCTCTCTCTCTCTCTCTCTCTCTCTCTCTCCCCTCTCTGTTACTCACAAGTGCCTTCCCAAATGATTTTGATAAAAAAAGCTTATCTTATTTGTGATGACTCAGAGAATGTGCGTCATCGGAATTGTTTAGAACACAGAACTCCAAAATAATCATAAGGCCCAAAACTGTCCCACTCATTTCTGCAGTCTCTATCTGTTCCAACGTATCAAACCTCAGAGAAATGGAATATTGTGATACATATCATTGAAGTGAAAATGTC